GGCCCAGCTAACCAATCACAGCACACACCGGCCCAGCTAACCAATCACAGCACACACCGGCCCAGCTAACCAATCACAGCACACACCGGCCCAGCTAACCAATCACAGCACACACCGGCCCAGCTAACCAATCACAGCACACACCGGCCCAGCTAACCAATCACAGCACACACCGGCCCAGCTAACCAATCACAGCACACACCGGCCCAGCTAACCAATCACAGCACACACCGGCCCAGCTAACCAATCACAGCACACACCGGCCCAGCTAACCAATCACAGCACACACCGGCCCAGCTAACCAATCACAGCACACACCGGCCCAGCTAACCAATCACAGCACACACCGGCCCAGCTAACCAATCACAGCACACACCGGCCCAGCTAACCAATCACAGCACACACCGGCCCAGCTAACCAATCACAGCACACACCGGCCCAGCTAACCAATCACAGCACACACCGGCCCAGCTAACCAATCACAGCACACACCGGCCCAGCTAACCAATCACAGCACACACCGGCCCAGCTAACCAATCACAGCACACACCGGCCCAGCTAACCAATCACAGCACACACCGGCCCAGCTAACCAATCACAGCACACACCGGCCCAGCTAACCAATCACAGCACATTTCATATTTCAGAAGGCGGGCCTTCATTTGATACAGGAACTATTCGAGTCGTTCATGCCAGACTGGGGAGAGAGGTGTTGTAATAATGTAAAATATGTGAAAAATAATGTGTTTTTCGAACAACCTAGTATGAGAGCCTGTTCTAGTACACCCCCAAAACAAAATCAAGACTTTGTAAAAGAGCATAATAGGACCCCTTTAAAGTACAGCATCATTTTAGACATTTACCATAGTAATATTTTTTAACTATTATTTGCAGTGTGTTTCATGGTAATACCGTGTTTTTGAAGATGTCCGGTGCTAAAACTATGTTTTTAGGCGAGTATAATAGTAATACCATGGTGTTTTAGATATGTACCTTGACAGTTTTTAAAATGCCATGTTTTTTTTGTTGTAATTTACCATAGTAATTAGGGCTGCACGATTATGACAAAAATCATAATTATCGATTATTCCCTTGAAATTGTAATTGCGATTATTAATTACGATTACCACAATTTACATTGAATTATGTAAACTTTTATTGCCTTTCAATAGTATTAAGCCTCAAATGTGAACAATACATTGGATTGGTTTCTTCTTTAAATAAAAAAAGTAAAAATTTGCATGGTATTTACATTTACATTTATATTTACATTTAATAATTTAGCAGACGCACTTATCCAGAGCGACTTACAAATGAGGAGAACAATATATATACAAGTGCTGTGAATTTTATACTAAAACTAAAATTAAAATAACGGAAAAAACCTTAAGAAAACCCGTAGAAAGAAAAAAAAGCATCTTAAGCGTGCAAAATGTGAATTTTATACTAAAACTAAAATTAAAATAACGGAAAAAACCTTAAGAAAACCCGTAGAAAGAAAAAAAAACATCTTAAGTGTGCAGAATAACATAAGTGGACTTTGAACAATTAATTGCCGCTTTGAATGATTGATTGCCGCTTTGAACGATTGATTGTTTTTTTGTCATACCATAGTAATGCATAGATTTTTTTCAACGCTAATACCATGGTTCACTGTGGTATACTGTGTTTTTTTTTTTACATTTACTATAGTAATACCATGTTTTTAATGCATAGCATCATAAAATGATGTTTTATCATAAAATAATGTTAAAATAACATTTTTTGACTTAGTAATAGTACCATAGCAATTTTTTAGTTTAATACCATGGTTTTAAAGTAATACTTTAATTTTACTGTTTTTAAAATATTTCCACTGGTAATACCATATTGGCATGTTGACGTATCGTAGTAATAATGGTTTTTATTGTAAATTATTGGACATGTACCATCAAAGTACCATGGTTGTCTTGGTAGTATCATGTAAATACTATAGTATATGAATCTAGTAATTATTTAGCGCTGTGGTATTAATTGTGCATGCACTTTCTGTTGTTAAACAATGCTTTTCCATTAGCTGTGATCAGTCTGTGAATGTGGTCTCAGTCACACACTCACTCTCTAGTGCTGATAACCTCTGCGTGTGACATGAACGAGGGCTGTGTGTGTTATCAGCCAGAGACACGATAACACGTGTCTGGGTCCGGACAGATTCTGTTTGGCTGATCTCTCGCTGCGTCTGCTTTCTCTTCATGTTGTGGATTAACGGGAGGAAGTTGTTGTTTCTCTGAAGTCTCCTCTGCTCCTGGTGACCATCTTAATTGCGTTTGGAGTTCCCGCGTCTCTCCCACCGCCCGTTATCTGCCGGGAAGGGCCGGAGTAGATGCACAATGCCCTATTTTTAGCGGTCTGTGTGGCATTGCCGTGCCCTCAGAGGCAGACGGGTCATTGTGCTCTCAGGGAGAGGTGAGGTGCTTCAGACCGTACCGTCCAGCAGAGCTGACAGCATGATATCATAAACCTTACACCTCAGGCGCTGACCGCCATCTGTGCTTACTGTCTGAGCATCTGCACTTCTCTAACATCTCTCTTTTTGCAGGCAGTTGCTAGGGTGTTGCTATGCAGTTGCCAAGGTGGTTTCTTACTGGCCCACTGAAAGTCTCTTGATATTCTAAAATCTGGTCTCTCATTTAATGCTTTTTTATTGTTTTTATTTGTCCTGCAATATGATAAATTCATTTTTAAAAATGCAAATATATTCCATGTAGCCTCTGAATTGATAGTTGTCATAACTACGTACATAATGATTATTAATAATTATAAATGTTAATATAAATATTATACATGAATATTGTTTTATTTGAATTAATAATAATTAATCAAATTCTAAAAATGTGCAATTATAATAATTAATTTGAAAATAAAAACAATCAAAATAAAATGCTTAGTAAAAAAAAAAATGAAATATTTTGTTTACCTGCATGCTGTGTGATTGTTAACCAATATTTTAGTATTATTTTAAAATATTTTAAAAATATATATATATATTTTTTTACAATATTAATATTTTAAATTAGCTTTTATTTTTATATTTTAATTTTATGATTTTGTTGTGTGTTTTTAGTAATTCTATTAGTTTATATTTTATAATTGCTAATTAGGTTTCATTTATTTTTATTTTAGTTTTAAATTTATTTCCAGTTTAAATACATTTTTTTAATTTAAATTATTTCAGTTAGCTGCCAAGTCAACATTTCTAATTATTGCTAAGTTGAAATTTTTCTGCTTATTTTTATATTTTATTTAATTTTAGTTCATTTTTATTTCAATTATAATAAATTTCGTTTTAGTTAACGATAAAAATCCTGCCGTAAACATGCAAATGTGTTGTTAAATATTAACTTAATATTATTCTTCAAGTAAATATTTTAGGTCAAAGGGATTCAACTGCATTGCTATACACCATTCAATAACATTTCTCTACAAAAAAATATATATACATTTTTAAACATGTTTTATATGTTAGAACATATTAGAATGTTTCATGATGTAATATAACATTAGTTTGTTTATTTTGCACATAGAAAAGCAACTGTTTTTGGGCCACCACAGATTTTGTCAGACGCACCAGAGGAGGTTTCTTGTTTTAGAGGCCACACAGCCCCTCAGAGACAGACCAGCCACCGTGGAGCGCGAGCCGTAATGGAAAACACTGTCAATCTGGCTTTTCTTTCTCAGTGGAAATTCCAGCCTGAGAGCAGGAGAAGTGAGCGGTAAACCCGCTGTAGAGGAGCAGATCCCTGATACAGGGAAGGTGGCGGCTCGGTTTTTTCAGAGGAAATGGCAACATGACAGCGGTCTGAGTCTGGTCTGAACAGATTCATATTTTCAATACTTTCATGATTCGGTCCTATGGTTTTATTTGAACTGGGAGAGGTGATTCAGATGATAAAACTGGTGAAAAAAGACCATCACTATTTAGGATCTTTATTCTGTTGTTCTTGTTGATTGTGCATCTCTGAAGTGTTTTTCTCTGGTTAAAGAGGGTCTCACTAATATATACATTAACAGTCAAAAGTTTTAAAAAGTTTATAATTAGGATTTTTTATTGTTTTTGAAAGAAGTCTCTTCTGCTCACCAAGACTGCATTTTTTAAACAGAATTACAGTAAATTTGGGGAAATATTGTTACAATTTTAAAATAACTTTCTATTTGAATAATGTATATTTTAAAATGTAATTTTAAATGATCACAGCAGGGTTATTATTGTTAACTAAAAGAAAACGATTGAAAACATTTTTGTTAATTGAAATAATCTAAAATAAAATATAAATATTCAATGGAAAAATGTTGACTTGGCAACTAACTGAAATAAGTTTAGTTTGAAGGACTAGAATTACTAACTGGTATGTAATTGAAATAAATAAACTAAAACTGAAATGGAAATAAATAAATCCTAAACTGTAATAAAAATAAAAAAAACGAATGAAAAAACATAAGATGGAAACCTGCAATATAAAAATAAAAGCTATAACTAAATCTATAATAGTATATAAATAATTCTAAAATAACACTGGTTCATTAATGACCACACAACATGCAGATAAATAAATAAAATATCGAATCTTTTATTTTATTTTAATTGTTTTTATTTTGAAAATACTTTTTGTAATTGTTAATTTTAGGATATAATTATTAGTTTTTTGTATTTATCAATATTAAAATTTGTATAATATTTATATTAATATGTATACTTGTTTATAATTATTTATATTAATTGAGAGGAATATTTGCACTTTTAAAAATACATTTATCACATTGCAGTACTATTTTTAATCTTGCAATAATAATAATATCAACAAAAAAAAAAAAAAAAAATTTTTTTTAAAGCATTAAATGAGGAACCCAAGAAACCAGAGACCCGGATATCAGATAATTTGCCAGAATATCAAAAGCATTTAAACAAAAATCCAAATTTTTGACTGGTAATGTATTCTGGTAACACCATTTGCCTCCCTTTTTTCCAGATGAGTTACAACAGTGAGTTGTGTCATATCTCAGACTGCCTTTATTTGCAGTGATGTTACACATGAGCCATACTAAAGCCTGCTCTAGTTTTATTTTTATGGCGAGAGGACCAGACCAGATCTAGTCTTATAAAGTTGCGTGTGTGCAAGCGGCCAGAGAGAGAGAGCTCATTGAGGCTGGTTCATGGTTGACTGATGGGATTTGAGTGGGATCCTGGTCTAAAGGAAATGAAAACAGAGGGCGGCTTTGAGCCCGGAGGCGTTTAGCTCTGCTGAATCCCATGTGCCATGACGTCTGCTTTCCCTGCAGTGATGCCAATTCAGCAAACTGACGTTTTTGATCAAGTTTCAAATAATGGAAGACGTATTGTGTGCTATAAATAAAATGAACAGGATCAAGCAGCTCCGCCTGGGAATGAACCAACTTCCTCTGGCTCACGCTCTGAATGGAAAACATATACAATGTATCTAAACAGCTTTGGCACAATTTAGCTCATGGGTATGGGTATGTGTTTAACTTTGTCCTCATGCCCTTTGAGAGATATTTTTGATATGTGAGACTATAAGTCTGTCCAAATCCTAGTGAGCTCCTTATCTAGGCGCCAACTTCAGGCAGTGTGTAATTAAGATTTTTAAATGTTTTAAAACAAGTCTCTTATGCTCACCAAGGGTGTGTTTATTTGTTAAAAAATACAGTAAAATTGTGAAATATTATTTCAATTTAAAATAAATTGTTTTGTATGTGAATATATGTTCAATTGTAATTTATTGCTATGATCAAAGCTGAATTTTCAGCATAATTTCTCCAGTCTTCAGTGTCACATGATCTTCAGAAATCATTCTAATGTGCTGATTTGCTGCTCAAGAAACATTTCTGATTATCAATTTTAAAAAACAGTTGTGCTGCTTCATATTTATGTGGAAACTGTGATGCATTTAATTTTTCAAGATTCTTCGATGAATAAAGTTCAGCAGCATATATTTGAAATAGGAATCTTTAATAACATTATAAATGCCTTTACTGTAACTTTTGATCAATTTAATGTATATTTGCTAAATAAACATTTATTTATTTAAAAAACATAGACTGCAAACTTTTGAACCGTAGTGTATATTGTTTTACAAAAATAATTGATTTTTTTTACTTTTTTGTGTTATATATTTGAATGCTTTTAGAATATCATGTTTGTTTAGTAACATGCTAAGGCCATTGAAATCAATTGTGAGTGTGCTTCATGTGAAAAGTTTTATTTGTATTGTGCCTTGACTTGTAGCTTATGTAAAGCATTCAGATAATTAATTTAAGATGCTCAGCTATTCATTTATGATTTCAGCTATTATGCTGCCTATGTAGATAATAGATGTTAAGGATGCATGCTAGGTTTTAGAACACAGCCTCAGTGTTTGACTTCAACACTTTTAAGTTTAGAATTCTGCATTTTGCAGATGCTTTTATCTTACATTGCATTTATTTTATCAGTTCATGCATTCCCTGGGAATCAAACCCACAACCTTGGCATTGCTAGTGCCGTGCTTTTCTGTTTTCAGCTACAGGAACACTTGGACAAGCACATGCCTTCAGATGGACTTGCTAGTATGTACTGGATATTGAACATGTGACTCTGTCTGATGCGCGGGCCCTGGGGCCACTCTTATCTCTCTCATCCAGCTGACCAAATACGGCTCCGCTTTAGTCACAAAGCGGAAGAACAGCAACACGCTCTCTCTGTTCCTCAGCAGTGCAGATAAAGAGCAGGCTTTATTTATAACATCCTGCTGTTTAACGACACAAGACAGTGAGGATTTTCCATTTATTCAGTCCAAATCAAACCTACTAACCTCGTCCTGCTGGGAAAGATAGGAAAACACTGGGATTTGTCTATGTGTTTGATTAGCAATCAGATAAATTAAAATGTAGATTTTCTGGTGTTAAGTCCATTATCTGTGATTGACGTTGTGTGTTTCCTGTCAGGCGTCTGCGGCGGGCAGCCTGTCCCTGCGGCGGTCGCTGTACCGGACTCTCTCGGACGAGAGCGTGTGCAGTAACAGGAAGGGCTCGTCCTATGCCAGCTCACGGAGCTCAATGCTGGATCAAGCCCTGCCCAACGACATCCTGTTCAGCAGCACTCCACCTTACCACTGCACCCTACCGCCCCGCATCAGCCTCAGCCAGCCCACATCCAACCTCAAGAGTGAGTCTACCTACCTACCTATGCATCCTTCCATCGTTCTATCCATCTATCCATCTATCTATCTATCTATCTATCTATCGTTCTGTCATTCATTCTATCGTTCTATCAGTTCATCTGTATCTATCTATCTATCTATCTATCTATCGTTCACTCTATCGTTCTGCCATTCATTCTATCGTTCTATCAGTTCATATCTATCTATCTATCTGTCTGTCTGTCTGTCTGTCTATCTATCTATCGTTCTATCTATCGTTCTATCGTTCTATCTATCTATCTATCTATCTATCTATCTATCTATCTATCTATCTATCTATCTATCTATCTATCTATCTATCTATCTATCTATCTATCTATCTATCTATCTATCTATCTATCTATCTATCTATCTATCTATCTATCTATCTATCTATCTATCTATCTATCTATCTATCTATCTATCTGTCTATCTGTCTGTCTGTCTATCTATTCAGATTGCGCTTTGTATAATCACCATTTATGTCTATAATTTTTCTGGCCAAGCACAAAGCTCATCCAATATACTGAATGCAGTGGGAAATTATTTATTTCTTTAAAAAAAATTCTACTGACCCCAAACTTTTTGAACAGTAGCATAGTTTAAGTCTTTAAATCCTTTCACCGTAGCTCTCAATATCTAACTTATCACTTAGCAGTTGTTTAGTGAGAGGCGAGAGACTCTTGCATCACTGATGTCAGACTTCACACTGCAAGTCTGAGCATGCGCAGATATGAGATTTCACAGATGCATTAATGGACAGATTCAGATCTTGACATCCATTGCTCACTGTATTACTTCTTTTGTGTTGAAGAAAAACCATATAGGTTTGAAACGGCGTGCTGGAGAGTAAATGCTGTCAGGTTTTGTCCATATGAAGAGCAGCATGCATTAGCAGCAGCAGCTGTCGTCTGTAAACACTCTCGTCACATTCAGTGCATTTCAGCCTCATGCAGTCAGACAGGAGGATTTCTGTCCAGAGAGGCACTTACACCTCCATCAGGAATGTGTGTGACACACAACACAGCATGACTCCTTTTATATGGCGTCCTTAATTAAAAAGCAAGAAGAAGAAAATGTCATGGCTAAAGTGCACAGAGAAGACACCTGTCACAGCCACTTCCCTGTTTTTACAGCATTGCCACACTTACAGTCAGGTCCATATATATATATATATATATATATATATATACACACAGTATATATGGACACAGGCGCAATTTGTATTATTTTAGCTGCTGACCAAAACATATTCAGGTTACAGTTATATAATGAATATGGGCTTGAAGTGCACACGCTGAGCTTTAATTTGAGGATATTGTCATCACTTTTGTCATCACCATTATTATTCATCCTCTACATTCAGCCTCTTGGCCAAATAATTCATCGTCATGGTTTTAACTACCACTGTTATGCCGATGACATCCAGATATATACTGCTTGTCAACCAGATTCTACCCATTCGATGGCATCCTTATCTTCATGTGTCAGTGAGTTAAAGGATTGGCTACATTCAAATTTTCTTAGTCTGAACTTGAGTAAAACAGAAATGTTAATAATTGGTCCCCCATCTCTAATAAAAAATAAAATTGATGTTTCTAGCTTTGACCTTGACGCTATTTCTATTTTCCCATCGGCTACTGTTAGAAACTTAGGTATCATTCTAGACCCATCACTGACCTTGGATGACCACATTAGCAAACTCTCCAAAGCTGCTTTTTTTCAACTACGTCGAATTGCGCAACTTCTTCCTTTCCTCAGTAGAAAAGATGCGGAATCATTAGTGCATGCATTTATTACCACTCGCCTTGACTATTGTAATGCTCTTTTCTCTGGCTTACCAGCTCACTCCATCGTTCGTCTGCAGTACATTCAAAATTCTGCTGCCAGATTATTAACTTCCACAAAAAAATCTGCTCACATCACCCCTATTCTATTTAATCTTCACTGGTTGCCTGTATCTATTCGTGTGCAATACAAAATTCTTCTGCTCACCTTCAAGGCACTCAATGGTCTTGCTCCCTCCTATCTTTCCGACCTACTTTCTTCTTATATACCTTCTCGCGCACTCCGGTCTTCTAATTCTGAACTTCTTTGTGTACCTAGGTTCCGCCTATCTTCAATGGGCGGCAGGTCCTTCTCTGTTACTGCACCCAAACTTTGGAATTCACTTCCCCTGGCACTCAGAACAGTCACCTCTTTCAGTGAATTCAAATCAAAGCTTAAAACTTATTTGTTTAATCAACACTATCACTAATTTACATTGTGTATTTGTCTGTTTTGTTTTTCTATTTCTGTCTTTTCTACATAATCTGTGTTATATGCAACTGCATTATTTGTAACTGAATTGGGCAAATGTCCAATGAAATTGTTTCTTTGTAATCAGTATTTGCTGCTTTGGTGTACCTTGTAGAGTGTCCTTGAGCTTGGGAAAGGCGCTATATAAATTAAAAATATTATTATTATTATCACAATTGGAGGAAAGGTTAAGGAATTACAGCTCTTTAATATGTACCTCCCCAGTTTTTCAAGGGATCATAAGTAATTGGACAGTTGACTCAAAAGCCGTTTCATGGACAGATGTGGGCTATTCCTTCGTTATTTCTACATCAGTTAAGCAGGTAAAAGGTCTGGAGTTGATTCTAAGAGTGCCATTTGCATTTGGAAGAACTCTGAACCCACATCATGCAGTCAAAGGAGCTCTCCATACAAGTGAAACAAAACAGATCCATCAGAGAGATAGCAGGAACTTTCGGAGTGGCCAAATCATTTTTTAACATTTTTGATTTTTAAGGGTGACTTAAGTCTATAAAAATACTTTTTATCTTCATTTTAAATAGCATTGTTATTTAAAATTTAACAGGCCTCTTTTTTCCAAATGTTTTACATGAAAAGTGTGTTTGTGCTATTATTATTTAATGAACGATGTTTAGTTTGATATTTTGTGGTCTAATGCAATAGTATTTATTATTGTTATTTATCTAATGCAATAGCATTTATTATTGTTATTTATGATGATGATGATGATGATGATGTTTCATTTGTTATATTTTATTATATAAAATATATTAATATTTTTCTATTGTATTTATATAAATTTAATATTAGTTAATTACATGTTTCATTTTTATATAATTGTATTCATTAATTATTGTATTATTATTACTTTTTAATAATAATAATAGTAGGAAACAATAACAATAATATAAATATTACACTTAATTTTAATTATAATAACATTTTTTATCAGATTAAGTGTGGCTTAAGTCTCCAAATATAGTTTGGGTGCACAGTATGAACCCTAATTTAAGATCTTCACCTGTAACCGGTTGTCTGTAGTGGGGTAAACCTTCTCTAGATGTGCTGCAAGTGACACATGAAATATGTGACTCATAAAGGCACAACTAACACAAACAATCATATCTCATTTGGTTTAAAGGATGTGTAATATGAACACATTTAGCAGTTTTAATCCGAGTGTGAGCGCTGATTCATTTATAGCTGGTTTTTCGAGTGGCCCGAGGAGGCTGATTGCTGTCACGCGTGATACATTTCTGATTGTTTCGAAAGATAGCAGTTTGCTGATTTTTTTCCTCACCCTGCTCATCTAGTGAATGCTCTAATTTGACAGATTGTGTCCCTCTGAGGCTCAGACAGAGAGAGAGAGAGGCACATTTACCTCCAGTGTTTTCCCTTACATCATTCTCAGAGCCAGTTCTTTGTGAGATGGAAATGTTTATGGCATATCCTGTCTATAAGGCGAGAGAGAGATGCACAATGAGAGGTTTGGACGCACGCAATTGATTGAAAAATGAGGCCATGTATAGGAGCTCAGCATTTAGACTTCATCTGCTGACGGGACAGCTGTCCAACATCGTGCTGCTGCATAAAATGACTTATTTCACAGGAAAGCATGTAAGCATTATATTTTGTTGAAAATCCAAACTGTTGATTTGGCCACTCCGAAAGTTCCTGCTATCTCTCTGATGGATCTGTTTTGTTTTTGAAGCCTAACAATCGTCTGTTTCACTTGTATGGAGAGCTCCTTTGACTGCATGATGTGGGTTCAGAGTTCTTCCAAATGCAAATGGCACTCTTAGAATCAACTCCAGACCTTTTACCTGCTTAACTGATGTAGAAATAACGAAGGAATAGCCCACATCTGTCCATGAAACAGCTTTTGAGTCAACTGTCCAATTACTTATGATCCCTTGAAAAACAGGGGAGGTACATATTAAAGAGCTGTAATTCCTTAACCTTTCCTCCAATTGTGATGAGAATATCCTCAAATTAAAGCTCAGCGTGTGCACTTTAAGCCCATATTCATTATATAACTGTAACTTGAACATGTTTTGGTCAGCAGCTAAGATAATAAAAATTGTGCCTGTGTCCAAATATATATGGACCTCACTGTATATTACTAATAATATAATGTTACTAATAATATGAGATCTAATAAATATTTAGAAAAATGATAAATAATATAAAACATATATATTATTATACACTATGTATATTATTATAAATATACTATGTCCTATAATGTAATAATTGTTCATAACAATATAAATTAGTATAATACTAAAATATGTGCAATAATTAAGTACATAGTAAAACAGTTTTCTAAACGTAAAGTTTAAATATGTGCATTTATGTATATATTCATTAAAAATTTGGGGGTCAGTATGATTTCTTTTAAAGAAATTAATACTTTTATTCAGCAAGGATGCATTAAATTGATCAAAAGTATCAGTTAAGACATTTCTAATGTTACAAAAGATTTCTATTTCAAATAAATGCTGATCTTTTGAACTTTTTATTAATCGAAGAATCCTGAAAAATAAAATGTATCACGGTTTCCACAATCATATCTCATTTGGTTTAAAGGATGTGTAATATGAACACATTTAGCAGTTTTAATCCGAGTGTGAGCGCTGATTCATTTATAGCTGGTTTTTCGAGTGGCCCGAGGAGGCTGATTGCTGTCACGCGTGATACATTTCTGATTGTTTCGAAAGATAGCAGTTTGCTGATTTTTTTCCTCACCCTGCTCATCTAGTGAATGCTCTAATTTGACAGATTGTGTCCCTCTGAGGCTCAGACAGAGAGAGAGAGAGGCACATTTACCTCCAGTGTTTTCCCTTACATCATTCTCAGAGCCAGTTCTTTGTGAGATGGAAATGTTTATGGCATATCCTGTCTATAAGGCGAGAGAGAGATGCACAATGAGAGGTTTGGACGCACGCAATTGATTGAAAAATGAGGCCATGTATAGGAGCTCAGCATTTAGACTTCATCTGCTGACGGGACAGCTGTCCAACATCGTGCTGCTGCATAAAATGACTTATTTCACAGGAAAGCATGTAAGCATTATATTTTGTTGAAAATCCAAACTGTTGATTTGGCCACTCCGAAAGTTCCTGCTATCTCTCTGATGGATCTGTTTTGTTTTTGAAGCCTAACAATCGTCTGTTTCACTTGTATGGAGAGCTCCTTTGACTGCATGATGTGGGTTCAGAGTTCTTCCAAATGCAAATGGCACTCTTAGAATCAACTCCAGACCTTTTACCTGCTTAACTGATGTAGAAATAACGAAGGAATAGCCCACATCTGTCCATGAAACAGCTTTTGAGTCAACTGTCCAATTACTTATGATCCCTTGAAAAACAGGGGAGGTACATATTAAAGAGCTGTAATTCCTTAACCTTTCCTCCAATTGTGATGAGAATATCCTCAAATTAAAGCTCAGCGTGTGCACTTTAAGCCCATATTCATTATATAACTGTAACTTGAACATGTTTTGGTCAGCAGCTAAGATAATAAAAATTGTGCCTGTGTCCAAATATATATGGACCTCACTGTATATTACTAATAATATAATGTTACTAATAATATGAGATCTAATAAATATTTAGAAAAATGATAAATAATATAAAACATATATATTATTATACACTATGTATATTATTATAAATATACTATGTCCTATAATGTAATAATTGTTCATAACAATATAAATTAGTATAATACTAAAATATGTGCAATAATTAAGTACATAGTAAAACAGTTTTCTAAACGTAAAGTTTAAATATGTGCATTTATGTATATATTCATTAAAAATTTGGGGGTCAGTATGATTTCTTTTAAAGAAATTAATACTTTTATTCAGCAAGGATGCATTAAATTGATCAAAAGTATCAGTTAAGACATTTCTAATGTTACAAAAGATTTCTATTTCAAATAAATGCTGATCTTTTGAACTTTTTATTAATCGAAGAATCCTGAAAAATAAAATGTATCACGGTTTCCACAAAAATATTGGGCAGCACAACTGTTTTCAACATTGATAATAACCAGAAATGTTTCTTGAGCAGCAAATCAGCATATTAGAATGATTTCTGAAGATCATGTGACACTGAAGACTGCAGTAATGATGCTGAAAATTCAGCTTTTATCACAGGAATAAATTAGATTTTACAATATATTCACATAGAAAACAGCTGTTTTAAACTGTGTAATAACATTTCACAATTTCACGATTTTACTAGATTTTTTATCAAATAAATGCAGCCTCGGTGAGCTGAAGAGATCATGTTTGTGTGTGGGCTAGAGAGAGCAGATCTTAGATGAATGGTGTGATCTTGCTCTCATTCTGCTGTCAGTTGTGTTGGAGGATGATGTCTTTGAGATCTTGTAAAAGGAACCAAAGACGGCAGGTGAGCGATTTAACCGGTCTTTCTCCCACTGCCTTCATTACAGAGACCTCCTGACCTCCCGACAGATGGCCTGAATTGAGCTCTATCTGTGTTTCTGCTGGTCTGCTGTCTGTAGAAACCCAGGGGAAGCTCAGCGGTGGATTGATGGTGGATTGGTGTCACTGATCTGTCTCTCTGTGTCTCTCTTCAGATGAGTTCTGGTTCTCTGACGGCTCGCTGGCTGACCGCTCGAAGTTCAGCGACCCGGGTCTCATGCCTCTGCCAGACACCGCCACGGGCCTGGACTGGTCTCACCTTGTCGACGCCGCCAGAGCCTTTGAAGGTGGGTGCAGAAGCGCTGAAATGCAGCATAACCCTTACACCTGAATGTAAGATTTGTGTATTTGAATTGCACATAAAATTCCCATGCATTTGGATGACATAGTTTGAACATAAACTAATAAACTTAATGTGATGCATATTCATCAGTCATTTATAAATTAAACAAATCAGACTGCTGTAATTGTACTAATAAACTGAATGTGTTTTAAATACACAATAACCAGCTTTAAATATTTCATCAATAAATCCAGTTGGTTTCAATCTAATGCATTAACTAATTGAATATTGCATGTTCCACATCCATATTTGAACCATGTTCATACTTCTTAACTAAATAAATTACAAAATTTCACATTGAACAGATGTATGCTTATATTCTAAGCAATTTGAATAAATGCATTTTGAATAATGCATTTCAAATATGATTGAAATAAAATCAAACAGATACAAATAGTTAATGACACTTTGTTTGATATTTGATATTTTGAAGTCTAATGCAATATTATTATTATTTATTGTTATTATGATTAAAATTAATAATAACAATAATGATAACAAGTAGTAGTAGTATGTGATTATTATGAATTCTAATAATTATTTATCATATATTTCTGTTGTTATATGTGTTATATAAAATATAGTTATATTTTCAGATATTCATTTTGTGTGTATGTGTGTATATATATATATATATATAATTGTTATTGATTAGTTTTTAACAGTGATGATATTTATGTTGATCTGAAGCATATAGATGCAAATAATTAATAATGACACTTGGTATGATATTTTACCTTCTAATGCAATAATGTTAATATTGTTTATTGATATTATTGTTATTATTATTATTGCTATTATTAATTATAATAATTATATGTAATGTATATTTATATTTTTGTATTTATATACATACATTGATATTTTATTTATGTATATAAATGCACAATAGCAAGGTTTATATATTTATCATCAAATTGTTTTCAGTCTCATGCATTGTAATTAATTTAACATTGCTTGTTTCACAGCTAGCCGTATTTTAACCATGTTCATACTTTTTATAAATGTAATTGTTTTCACAATGAACATATTTTAATAGATGCATTGATGAATGTAGATGTAAATGCAATGAAAATAGCAACCTGGTTATTGTGGTTTTAAAACACATTCAGTTTATTATAATCAGTATTATAACAGAAATCTTGCCTGTTTGTTTACCCGTTTCATTTATGTATGAAGTTTATTAGTTATTTATGTTACAACTGTGTAATCCAAATAGATGGACATTTTATATGCAAGTTACATACATAAATCTTAAATTCAGGCCTTAATATATGAGTGCAGATACTCTGAATCAGCTGAGCACTGCCACCTGCAATTAAACACTCAGCCGGCATGCTGGGTAATTGCTGTTTGTCCCGCCCTCAGTCATTTGCATGTGAGCACACGCAGCTCTGATGATGTCTGTCCCACACTCGTCCTCTTGTCTGCTCCTGTCCTTCTCTAAACGGATTAGTAAGAAGGCCATCATTATTTTGTTAATGGCTTCAGTCTTCATTCAATCATTTAAGCTTTGTTTTTCACTGCTATAGTGGAGGACACGGCCTCGAGCTGATGTTTGTGAGCAGCATTAGTGGTTGTTTTTTAAATGTTATTCTTATTTTAAAGGGGTCATAGGGTGCTACATGCACTTTTACAAGTTGTTTGAACTGAAATGTGTGTTGGCAGTGTGTGTACACAACCACCCTATAATGATAAAAATCCACCCAGTGTTTTTTTCTTTTCTGCTCAGATCTTTACCCCTTTCTCAAATCGAGCCGATCTCAGATGCCTGTCTGTGTGACGTCACAAAAACAGGCCCCTCCCACGATAGTTTGATTGACAGTACCGTTTCAGCACAGACTGGACTGGCGTCTTACCTTAACCCCGCCCTGAGTGAGCCGTCATCAGTCTGCCATTGTTTCACCACCAGAGCTACAGACTTTTCATTAAGACCCTAAAGAATCATATAAACTTGTGGAAAATGGGCATCCGATGACCCCTTTAAGGTGTTTGATGCTCTAGATTTTTTCTCAAGAGAATCAATTTCATGAGATTAATGCATAAATGGATTGTTTTAAACCTAAATACTGTTATCATTAGGGTTGGGTACCGAAACCGGTATCAATAT